TGCCCAAGGAAGCTGTGAATGCTCCAACCCTGGAGGTGTTCAAGGCCAGGCTGGACAGAGCCTTGGGCGACATAGTTTAGTGTATGGTGTCCCTACTCATGGCAGGGGGGTTGGAACTAGATGATCTTAAGGTCCTTTCCAACCCTAACTATTCTATGATTCTATGATTCTGTATATACTTTATATACATATATGTATTTTATATGTAATATAAAGATGTTGTCACAAGAATTGAGTATGCTAATTTGGAGCTGCTTTATTTCAATGGAGATATAAAGCAGATAAATCAGGGTCACTTTTTTGCTTGAAATACAGAAACCACCTGATGGCTTATTAAAAGTATTTGATTAAAAGACATATCTCCTTCTAACCTGCCTTTTTATTATCTTTTTTCAGGTTGGTCACTTGGCACCTCTGCTGGGAGGTGAATCATCTTCCAGGTTTGTGGCAGAGCCGGGGGAGGCAATGGGACATGGGCAGGCTGGCATGAACTCAGCCAAGCGTCCCAGTGCTAAGGAGGAGATGTCCATCACCTTGTGCTACGAGGTGAATGGCTCCTGCTACAGGACCTTATACCCCTTTGGGGTCCAGCTGGCCATTTGTCTGGCCTGTGCCTTGGGCACACTGATCATGGGGTTGGGGAACCTCCTTGTTGTCATCATCATTTCCCATTTCAAAGCTCTGCACACCCCCACCAACCTCCTGATCCTCTCTCTTGCCCTTGCTGACCTCCTCCTGGGTCTGACCATGTTGCCCTTCAGCACCATCCAAGTCTATAGAGTGCTGCTGGTATTTCGGAGATGACTTCCGTAGGCTGCACACCTTTCTGGACACAGTCTTTTGCTTGACCTTTGTATTTCATCTGTATTTCATTTCCGTTGATCGGTACCGTGCTATCTGTGAACCTTTGCTCTAGCCCACCAAGTTCACCATCAAAGTGGCCTTCATTTACATCGGCAGTGCCTATGACTTACACCTCTAACCTCCTCTACACTAAATCGATTGTAGAAGGACCGGGACATTTCTTGAAAGACGTGCCCTGTGTCGGTAGCTGTCAGCTGCTGTTCAACAAGCTCTGGGGGTGGTTGAACTTCCCAGTATTCTTCTTCCCTTGCCTAGTAATGATAGTTTTGTATGTAAAAATATTTACTGTGGCTAACAAGCAAGCCAGGCTCATAAACGACATGAGTAAGAGTATTGGATCTCAGGTACACGTAGGAGCATCTAAGAGCAAAAGAAAGGCAGCAAAGACTCTTATGGTAGGTGTAGGAATCTACCTCTTGTGTTGGTTTCCCTTTACTATTGACACTATGGTAGACAGTCTTCTGGATTTCATTACCCCCCCAGTTCTGTTTGACATCCTAATCTGGTTTGCTTACTTCAGTTCTGCCTGCAATCCCTTGATCTATGTATTTTCCTACCGCTGGTTCAGAAAAGCTGTGAAACTAGTCTTAACTTATGGGATCTTTTGTTCCAGAATGTCTACAGTAGACTTGTACCAGGAATGACCAGAGCCTTCATGTGCACTGTAGAAAATATTGTAGGCTGTATCATAGCATTTCTCATTAATATTCTTCAACATCCATTTAGCTAATATTTCTTTTCTTATTTTACATTTTTTTTAACAGTTGGCTTGGGCAGATCTGCAGTTTAAATAGACATGCCATTCTGTGACTCACCTTCCACAACACATGTCCCAGCACACACACCTTATTAAGGTCTTGCGCTATGTGATTCCGACAAGTGTTTGAAAATTAGCTGTAACCAGCTCCAAAGAGGACCTTTTCCATACTATTCCTCAGTTACACCACTATTTTTTACACTATTTTTCTAGCCCAAGGGATGTGTCTCTGTGACAAAGGCTACATATGAGAGATACTATTCTGAATTCCTCAGTAGCGTCTATTGAAACCCATAGAATACGTGCATGTTTGATCTGTGTGTGCAAGGAGGCAACTCCATAACTTTGAACACACTTTTCACCTTGCTCCGTATCTTTTCTACTCCTCCTGCATAAAGGGAGGGAGAAGAAGTGGGAAGAGGACATGGAATGCATAGGATACTCCAACTGCAGATATCAGTTGGTGTCATGATGTTTTATACTTTGTTCTTTTGTTTTCTTTTCCCTAACAATCCTGAGATTCCACATGCTCTTTTGTTTGCTTGCTTCCAAAGAAATGAGTAGGTCTGCTTACAGACACAACATATACTTACATACTTGGGATGTGCAAAAAATGTCAGCATAGGTTCTCAGTTTACATCAGCTATCTTTATGTGCTTTCACAAGGCCAATTTTAAAACTGTAGATGCTGATAAGTTGAGACCTCTGTTCGACAGCAAGCTGCTTGGTGAAGTTTTGTACTATTCATAAGCAAGTTATTTTCTACCTCATCATTATTATCAACATTTTTGCCAGAAAAAAAAGAAATTGTACTAAGCAGTAGTAACTCTTCTACGCAAAATTAACAAGCAGCCAAATAGCAGCTCTAATAATGTTGTCTTCTTTTTCTGTTAGTGGTGTATAAAGCTATTCTAGGTTTGAAGGTTGTTCAGATTTTTAGTGCCTTCTAAAACAAGTCATTCCATCTCATAGTCAGCTGCATATTTTCTGAGTGACAAACACGAGAACAGACTACAGAAAGCATGCGACTAACAGTAAGAGACCAGCAGATGCCCCATAGGCTACTGAAAAGAGTGGACAGTTTTTCACTGCGTGTTGCAGGCAGTTGAATCAGGCCCCACATGTGTAAGAACAAAAGAAAGGGATTGTGCAGCAGATATTCTGTGGGAAATCAGTGCAATACAGTGATTGTTGTAGCAGTTGCTTGTTTTAGTGTATGTAATAGATTAAATGGTAAGAACCTGACCCCTACTGCATACAGCTGTAGATTTTCTACAATAAGGGTACCCAAGCTAAGGCACCAGGCTGAAGAGTGAAAGGCAGAATTGGATTCTTAGAAAAATTCAGGTGCCAGATTACCATAGAAATATATAGGGAAGTTGTGGTACATCTTGAAAGACCTAAACTGTGGGCGAGCTTTGAGATTAAGACTCTCAAATTTAATGTGTATAGGTAGATGTTTATAATTATGGTAAATGTATATGCACTGATGATAGCATAGCCAGAATGTCTGCTTAAGCTCAGGCTGTAGTTAATGAATACTTAGAGGATATGAATCATTTTTCTAGTGCCACCACCTAAGGTGCCTTAGGGAACCTGCTGCGTCTACATGGGATAGCATCCAGCACCGATGAAGCAGCATTTAGATGGGACACATCTAGACATCTAAAATTGCACTAGATATTCATCTGTGGGGCATTGAGCTTAATCAAGGCATATAACAGAAGTTTAGGCATTTAGCTGTGTAGAAATCTGCAAGTCTCAAACTGAGTGACGTCATAGGGGCATCTTAACAACATCTTTCATTGACATTTTTTGCTCTGAACTCACTGCAGCCAAAGCAGTAGAGGAAGGGAATTTCCACTGAGTTTCTAGTTGGTTTTGGAGATATTTTCTACTAGTCCTCAGCAGGTTACGGAGGGTATTTGCCATTAACACACTTAACTGTCCACTTCTTTTTTGAGTCTCACTGCATAATATGTCTTTATAGTTTTCTTTTCTTCTGTGGAAGTGGATAATCATTATTCCCTCGATGGATTACCACCGCAATTGCCGCTGTACAAGGACTATGCCATAACACCATGTGATAGTTGCTACATCTCCTTTTTGGCTAAACAGCAGGCAGGAATGATGGAGAGAGGGAAAAGCAGAGCCCATAGGACTGATCTGTACAGTGGCAGTGGCAGAGCAAACAAGTGAGAAGGAAAAGCTGCTAAAACTCTGGGAGTAGCCAGGATTCTTCCCCCATTTTCTGACACCACATTTCACAACTATCACTAAATAACATATTCCACCTCTTTACAACTCCCACTCTGTGCCCTTGCTATTGATGTTTATTTGGTTTATCTATCCAAATTCTGCTAGGATGCCTTTGCATGTTTGTTTGTTTTTTTCTTCTCCACGGTTTCAAAAAGCAATGAAGGTAATTATGAATTATAAAATGAAGAGAAGGAGGTGCTTGAAAATTATGAAGATGGATTGCTCAACAATGACCTAATTTTCCAAATAAAAACCTACCAGATTTTATCAGAGCAAGTTGCTGACCTCAAAGTCCATAGATTTTCTTATTTTTAAAATCTTTCCTTCTGTAGATCTGTATTTCTTTATCTGAACAATATTTCACCCTTTAACTATATGCCATTCATAACTCTTTATAATTTCAAAATGGTCGGGCTGAAGTTAGAAAGATTATGTATTTGTAGGTTCTACTTAATTAAGGACTGGGTTTTGAAATAATAATGTCGGCTCATTTCATTAGTGTGGATAGAAGTATAATATGGTCTTTCAAACTTAAAGGAAGTTTCCTGGATTGGTTTGTGGTTTTTTTTTTTGAAACATTATCAATATTGGGAACAGATATTTTCTCTGTTTATTTAAAACATGCTACCATGTTAATTACTGCTGCTGGAGAGAAAGTACCAGACTAAATAACATGCAAATGGTCAATGCATTCAAAAAAACACCAAACAAATAGGTTTTACACGCCATTCTGCAATATAATTAACCCATTAGCTTGTTCAGGCTGGAAACCATCATCCATCGTAATTTTATACAGCATGGGGTGTAATGGAAACCTAATCTCATTTCAGGTTCTGGAGTGGATATATCAATTGAATTAGCAAACGGAGATGACGACAACAGTAACAGGAATTCTTCCTGATGGTGGAATGCATCACTAACAACCACCTTTGCCATTGGTATCAAATACTGGCAACATTGCCTTTCCTATCAAAAGTTAGAGGCACACAAGTGAAATGTGATAGCAGAGAACGAAACTTGCCCTCAAGGTAAGTTGCAAAACCACTTAGGCATCGCTCACACATTGGAAAGATCAGGAATACAAGGGCAGGGCTGGGCTGCTTCCCCTTCATTTCATCGTGCATTGTGCAGGTACAGGGAGCTGGACGGAAATGAGTGTCCCATTTCTGCGTCACTGGTAACCCCTGATGCTTGTGCCACCCATGCTGCTGGGCTGATGTGCCTGACAGTTCAGTACCAGGGCAGGAGCAGGAGGTGGGAGGCAGAAATACAGTCAAGAAGGTGGGGTGGATTCAGATTCTAGGCTGGGAGGAAGGTGTGCTCTTTCAAAATCACACTATGCTGGTGTGGTTTAACTTCCAATTCTTTAAAAAGTCAGGTACCATACTGAGTATGGATCTTCGAAAAGTGTGCGTTTGAAATGACATCCCTTTTAGTTAAGTTTTAAACACAGTATCAGAAATAAAATTGGCAAATACTCTGATCTTCGGTCAGTGAATATCCAAAGCATCCTCCATGTTATGCTGAGCTTATACATAGCATAGCAGGTTCTCAACATTTTTCCCTTTCTTTCCCCAGAGCTTTCCCCATTTCATGTAACCAATTAAAATCTAATCATGCTCTGAAAGCAACAGGAAAGGTAAGTGAATTCATAAGTCTGTCCTCAATTGCCCAGTAACCCTCTAGAAAGAAGATAATGAGTTTAGAGACAGAATTGTGTAGCAGCACTCCGTTTCAGCATATCTGACAATAACAATTGGAGGCAGCTCCTTTACAATTCCTCCTGTCCACACACCACTGCTAGCAGAGGAAAGCATGCAGAAAATGGAAGGAATCCTCCTGCTTTATTTAAAAGAATAAAACAGAGCACATTCTCACAGTCAATGGCTTTTCTACAGGAGTTAACAAAAATCTTCTAAGGATATACTGTACTCTTAGCAGTATCTGATCAATACGTAGGACAGTCTGGCTGGTCTATTAACTGTGTCTTCATAATTATATAATGAATATGAAAATGTTAGGGTTTACTGGAGTTTTCTGTTAAGTGTTACTCAATTAGGTTATTATTAAGGTTTCCACTGCTCTAGTTATTTTTAAATCTTAGTGATGACCAATGCCTATGATGTAGCAGAAATAAACTTGCAGTTCCCAACTTTTGTGGCTTCTCCCTAGATCAGCTGGGCTTTGGGGAGGAGACAGCGTTCCCAGCAATTAGGTGCTGTGTGCTGTTTGTTCTGTGGGTTTTAATACACGAGGTGTCCTGCAGATGAAGTGGCCCAACGCTGGGGCTCTGGGGAGCACCAGGTCCTGTAATTTTCCTTTTGCAAAGCCAGGGAGGATGCAAAGCGCCCCAGCTGCTATGCAGGTGGCCTTGAGGCTCACCCCTGCCCCTTCTTCTCAGGTACCTCGGTCAGAAGGAGACTGAGATTCCTTGTCTCTCATCTCGTTGCTTCCTGGTGCTACTGCTGTCCTCGCAGCCACGGGTGGCCTGCTCCTTCTGCATACCCAGCCCAGGACTGGCAGCCGTTGGAACGCACTCTACACTGTCCCTTGTTCGTGGCATGGCTTGCCCCCTCGCCCAGCTAAATATTCTAAATCTCTACATTTAAAGACACCTTTAAATATATC